TAATTCAGTTGGTCATTCTGACGTGGATGCTCAACTCCTTGATGCTTTTTAAAGTCTTTGTAATTTAAAATATGAGGCAATGAAGAATAGTTGGAACCATTTTCGTTCGATACCCACGAGCTTTTGTTAATTAATTGAATCTTTGCGCAAGATCAAAAAGAAAAGACTATTGTGTTTTAAATTTTAACTTTAGTATTTTACTATCTAAACTATATCAAATTATAAAAAAAAAATAATTAGATGGAGGTGACACAATATTAGAGGCCTGTGTCTTATGAGTGTTAGCATATTAAGTTCACATGTGATGTAGAGTTAAGAGATATTCATAAAATCTCATATTGAAGCTTAAACCTAAATGTCTCAATGCACAACCCTAGTGGAGTTGAAACAAAGTGTTCTGGTGCATAAGATCCGTTCCAAGCTTAAACGCAATTGTCTTGATGTGCAACCCTAGTGGCAAATCATGAAAATGTAACCAAAATGAATTTGAGGTGAAGTTGTACTACTTCGGTGACAAGGTTCGATCAAATCACCTTAATATGATCAAAGAATTATTGAACTACCAAGGCACGCTCATTAGGATTTTGTCTACATCAAACTTGTTAGTAAGCTCAAAAAGGTATAGCTCTTCACCAAATTTGCTTACTTTGAAGCCATTTTGAGGACTCAAAAAGGATAACATGGAATTTTGTAGCCCTTTAAGGTTGATTCAAACTTCTTGTCTACATGGCATTCATTAGTGTCTTGTCTATATGAAACTTCTTTTTCAGTCAACGGTATGTTGCCTAAGATAGAGCAAAGTGCCTCTTCTTTGCAAGGCAATGTTTATCCTACTACCTGCAAGGTTGGTTGTTGGCTGGAACCCTTGTTGTCATAAGGAGTCCAAACAAACCCTAAGTTAATGGCCAAAAGAAAGCCCTAGTAGAAAGATATGTCAAGTGAGAGGATGGGGAAAATAGAGAGCAACGCTTAAATTAGGGAGGACTCCTAATGGGGTTGAGAAGCCAGTCGTTGCGAAGAGGAAACCCTAGTAGAAAGAAACCCAAGGTGCGCAAGAGACCAAATAATATTATCATCCACTAGTATAGAAAAATATCTTTTTTCCCACTTTAACCCTATTATTTTTAATTCACTTTAATTAATTATCCACTCACAAAAAGTCCTTTTTATCTTTTATTTCCTTTTTAAAGATCTAAAATGTCCCCAAATTCTTAATTTAAAAAAAAAATCAAAAAGCAAGAATGATTTTGAGATAAATGGAGTTTAATATTATTAATTATGCATCCACTTTACGTAGCCTGATACCTTGTATTAGAGGTGTTCACGATATGGATTAGATTGACATTTAACATTTTTAAAACCAAACCAATTTAATAAGTTTGTAAAGTTTTCAAAGCAATATAACTATTATTATATTATAACCAAACTAATCATTTTTAGATTGAATCAATATGGTTCGATTGGATTGATCGACTCTTAATACTATTTTTAACATATTTGTGACCATGTAAAAAAATTATAACATCAAACTATAACACAATCATAAAACATAATAACATCTTAGACAATAAAATGATAGTATTAACTACTATATTGAAGTACAAATTAAGAAAAAGGAAAAAAAGGTAAAAACTAATAAGATAACTAGGACATGTAAGTCTACGTTTTTACTATTCAAAAGAATAAAGAGTTTTTGTTTGTATAGGGGAGGATTTAAGGTTACGTTATTTTATAATTAAGTTATTTTATACAATTATAGTATAAAAATAAAATAAAAATGATACCCAATACAATTATTATTATATTACAACTATGGGCATGCAGTTTCACGGAACTGAAGAGGAGGTGGAATCTCAGTTTTTAGAGTTGGAACAGCGGGATGATGTCAGGGGAAAGAATAGATAAGAGAGTGGGTCTGTTTTCGGAGGTAGTGTGGCTGTGGGTTTTGGTTGAAATGAAGTTTTTTTCTTTTAATGTTAGAGGATTGGGGGGAACGGTGAAGAGGAGAGAGCTGGGTAGATTAGTAAGGGCAGAGAAACCAGATTTTTTATGTTTACAGGAGACAAAATTGGAAGAAGTAGATGAAGGATTGTGCAAAATGCTGTGGTACTCAGATGAGTTCGAATGGAGTATGAAAAGTTCGGTGGGAGCCTCAGGAGGCTTGTTGTGTGTGTGGAGTAGGACAAGTTTTGTCAAAATGGAGGAATTTGCAGGGGACGGGTTCTTGGGTGTCAAAGGGTTGTGGGGTGTAAACAAGGTGCCATGTAGGTTGGTGAACGTGTATACTCCGACTGATAGAAGGAGAAAGGCTGAGCTATGGAATGAGTTGCGACAGAGGATTACAGAGGAAGGTGGGAGATGGTTGCTGGCAGGAGATTTTAATGCGGTTCGGTGTCTCGAAGAACGAAGGGGAAGAACAGGTATGAGTGTTGATATGTTGGAGTTTGATGCTTTCATAGAGAATACAGGGTTGGTTGATTTTAAGCTGGCCAACCGGAAGTTTACATGGTATAGACCGGATGGTACATCCATGAGCAGATTGGATAGAGTATTAATGACGGTCGAGATGAGTAGTATGGGTGAGGAGTGGGTGCAGCAGGGGCTGAAGAGAAATATATCCGATCATTGTGCCATTATTTTGAAAACAAGAGTTAAGGATTGGGGACCAAAACCGTTTAGGGTGTTGGACGTTTGGCAGCAACATCCAGAGTTTAAGAAATTCGTTGAAGACAAATGGTCTGAGATGGTGGTAGATGGTTTTGCAGGTTATAGATGTATGCAGAAATTGAAAATGTTGAAGAAATTTTTGAAAGGGTGGAATAAGGACGTGTTTGGGGATATAGAAGCTAAATTTCAAGCTGCTGCTGATAAGGTGGCTCGGATGGATATGAAGAATGAAGAGGTTGTTTTAGAAGTGGAAGAGGTGGCTGAAAGACAAGAAGGATTTCATGATATGTGGGATATTATGAAGAAGAGGGAGAGTATGTGGAAGCAGAAATCAAGATGTAGATGGGCTAAATTGGGGGATGCTAACACGAGGTTCTTCCACAAAGTGGCAAATGGTAGAAAGGTTCTTAATAACATTAATGGCTTCTCGTGTGAAGGCAAGTGGGTGGAGGAGCCAGAGGAGGTGAAGAAAGAGGTTGTCAGGTACTTTAGCACCATGTTTGAAGGAGAATCATGGCAACGTCCCAAGCCGGTTGGCATCAACTTTAGACAGATCTTAGAAGAGATGAAAGGCGGGTTAGAAAGGCCATTTTCTGAAGAGGAGATTGAGGAAGGTTTGAAGAGCTGTGAGGGAACAAAAGCACCAGGGCCGGATGGATTCAATTTTAGTTTTCTCAAATTTGCATGGAACTGCTTGAAGGAAGATTTTATGAGTTTTTTCGCGGAATTTCACCAGAATGGCAGGTTAGTAAGAGGATTAAATTCTTCTTTTATAACCTTAATTCCTAAGAAGTTGAATCCTTTAGAATTAAAGGATTTTAGACCTATTAGTTTGATTGGATGTCTGTATAAGTTATTGGCAAAGGTGCTGGCTAATAGGCTAAAGGGTGTAATGTCGAGCATAATTAGTGACACTCAGTCTGCTTTTCTGGGGGGTCGTCAGTTGGTGGATAGTGTTCTAGTTCTAAATGAGGTGATTGATGAGGTTAAGTTGAAGAAACAAAAGGCCTTCGTTTTTAAAGCTGATTTTGAAAAGGCCTACGATTGTGTAGATTGGGCATACTTGGATTGGATGCTCTGTAAGATGGGTTTTGGAATGAAATGGCGGGGATGGATTCGAGAATGTCTTTCAACAGCAAGGATCTCGGTATTAGTGAATGGAAGTCCCACGGAGGAGTTTGTAATGGGAAAAGGCTTAAGGCAAGGCGACCCGTTATCACCATTTTTGTTTTTGATAGTTGCTGAGGGGTTGAATGGTTTAGTTAAGAGAGCAGAAAATGAAGGATTGTTACGTGGCATAGCAGTGGGTAATAGGGGGTTAACTGTGTCTTTGCTTCAATTTGCGGATGATACGGTGTTTTTGGGTAATGCGGACAGTGAGAATATATTTGCGGTTAAGACCATTTTAAGATGTTTCGAGTTGATATCTGGTTTACGGATCAATTTTTGCAAGAGTAGTGTGGTCGGGTTTAACGTGTCAGAAAGGTGGATTAGAGGGGTAGCAAGTGGTTTACATTGTGGTGTTGGGGAAACTTCCTTCATGTATTTGGGGTTGCCGGTTGGTAGAAAGACAAGGTGTAAGAGGATGTGGGAACCTGTTCTGAAAAAATTTCGAGCCAAGCTTGCCCTCTGGAAGTCTAATTCACTGTCCTCTGGCGGCCGCATCACTCTACTCAACTCGGTACTCTCTGCTATCCCTATCTTTTATATGTCGTTATTTTTAATACCGAATTGTGTGGCTTCGGAGTTGATTAGTATTCAACGGGCTTTCTTGTGGGGTGGGGTGGAGTTAAAGAGGCGAATTCCATGGGTTAAATGGGAGCACATTTGCTTTAGTAAGAAGCAGGGAGGGCTAGGTGTGATAGATTTGTGTAGGAAAAATTGGGTTTTATTAGGGAAATGGTGGTTCAGATTAGGGGATGGTATAGAAGGTTTGTGGAAGAAGGTGGTGAGGGAGAAATATTATGGGGGTAGGGAAGAAGTAGACATTAAGGCATTGGAGAGTGTGAGGGTGTCAGGGATTTGGAGAGATATTCTCAGTGTAGGACAACGATCTGTAAGATTACATGACTTGTTGGTCCAGGGGTTCAAATGGGTGGTAGGGGATGGGTCTCGAGTGGGGTTCTGGAGGTCGGTTTGGGTGGGGGAGAAATCTTTAAGGGAATTGTGTCCTCGAATGTTTGAATTGGCTGTCAATAAGGAGGGATTAGTTAGTGAGATGGGGGTGTGGGAGGAGGGTAGGTGGAGATGGAATATAATTTGGAGGAGAGGGCGGTTTGGAAGAGAGAAGGATGAGGAATTGATGTTGTGGGAGGTGTTGAGTAGAGTTTGCATCAAGGTAGGGGTTGAAGATCGTTGGCAGTGGAGGCATGCTGCAGATGGGAAGTATGTGGTGAAACAAGCTTATGAGTTTTTAGAATCGACGGATGCTATTCTTAATGACTGGTTGTGTAAGTTAATTTGGTGTCGCTTAGTACCGTCTAAAGTAAGTTTTTTTGGGTGGAGATTATGCCTTTAGAGACTTCCAACAAAATGGAATCTGCATAAGAGAGGTGTGGAGTTAGAGGGGGGCTTAATGTGTGGGCTGTGTAAGGAGGAGGTGGAAGATACTAATCATGTGTTTTGTACATGTAAAGAAGTATGGTTAATTTGGGTTAAGGTATTGTCTTGGTGGGGTTTTGAGGTGGTGTTGCCGTCTATTGTGGAGGGGGTAGCAGAATTTTTCCTGTATGGGTTGGGTAAGGTGGTAGGGAAGGAATTGGGAGCAAGTATTTTTCTTGTTACATCATGGTATATATGGTATTGGAGGAATTGTACAGTGTTCAAGGGAGATGTGGCTCTTAAGGAGGGGTTGTTGGATATGATACAGGAAAAGACATTTTTTTGGGTGAAGAATAAAGTACAGGGTTGTGTATTTTCTGTTTGGGATTGGAAGGTAAATCCAAGTGAGTGCGCTGTAGCTATGAGAAAGCATAAGAGGCAGCAAAAGGAGTTCCATAAGCACCAAAAAGGACGGGTATAGATGTAGAAGGACCAAGATGTTCTCTTTACTAGTATTGTGTTTCCATTTTGGTTATAATTTATTTTTGTAATTGGGTTAGAGTACCCCTTGTACTCTTGCATAATAAAGTTGAATTTTGCTGATAAAAAAAAAAATAGTAAAGAAATAAGAAAAATAAAACAAGACAGGAAAATTTAAAATATAATTTACTTACAAGAAAAAAATTAAAAATATATTATATTTTGAAAAAAAAATAAATATCAGTTCTAACTCCAAAAAAAATTTAAAACTCTAACCCTTAAACGTTTCAGTTTTGTTTAATTAAACCCCAATCCCGACTTTCACCCTTCCCCTTCACAGATTTTCAACCCATGGGATTTAATTCTCGCCAGCAACAATAGAGACCAAATTGATAAAGACATTGATTTAATGAATTTTTTAATGGGTTTTTCTAAATTATACTCTTAGCTTAAAAAATAATATTTAATTTATTAATTATTTAATTAAATTTATCCACGTGACATTGAAACTAAAATTAATATTTAGATTTACATTTTCTATACAAATTCATTATAAACAAATGTCTTTAACTCCTGCACTAAGGATATGGGTTAAAAAAATCTGTTTTATTAGTATCTTAGTTTATTTTGTAAAAGACAAATAGATATTGATCCTCCATTATCATGCAAAATTTACAAAATCATTAAAAATTTTATATAAGAAGTTTTTGATCCGATTTTTTTTTTTTTATATTCACCCTAATCATTGCTTTTTTTTTTTTCAAACTTAATAACAAAAATTCAAACCATTTAAAATTAATTTAATCTAATTTTTAATCAAACAAAATCAAAATCTAATCAAACCCTATCTGCTATCTGTCAATTATGAGTTCATCACTTTTTGAATTATTTTTCTTGATTGCAAATTTTTTTGCCCGGTTCTAAATAAAAATAAAATTAACTTTTATTTTTTTTATAATAATTAAGAAAAATGCAATAAATGCATCTTTGACACCGTAAGAAATATATCCGTTAGCTACGGGTTGTTTGAGGAAAAAGAGGGGCAAACTTGACGCGCGATTCATCTCGGAACCTTGCGATGTCCTCGCTGTTATCGAACGTCTAAATTGAATAATAAACGTTCAAATGGAAATTCAAGCTGAAAACTGCGAATCTTGGCGTTCCCTTGTTGGGAACACGTTATGTACTCGTTCGATCTCCATGAGTGGGCGCATCGAAATATAAATTCTTTAAAAAAATAAAAAATAATATTTAATTAAATTTATCCATACTAAAATTAATGTTTACATTTACTTTTTTTTTATACAAATTTATTATAAAAAGATGTTTTTAACTTCTGCCATAAGGATATGAGTTAAAAAAAATTTGTTTTTATTATTATCTTAGTTTATTTTGTAAAAGACAAATAGATATTGATCCTCCATTATCATGCAAAATTTACAAAACCATTAAAAAATTTATATAGGAAGTTTTTTATCCGATTTTTTTTTTATATTCACCCTAATCATTTTTTTTTTATTTTTAAACTTAATAACAAAAATTCAAGCCATTTAAAATTAATTTAATTTAATTTTTAATCAAACAAAATCAAAATCTAATCAAGCCCTATCTGTCAATTACGACACTATTAGAAAACATAAAATCACCGACCAAAAATCATCGATAAAAGACGATTGGTCAGTAAACTAATAATTTACCAACGAAAAAAAAGTCTGTAAAGTGAGAAACAGTACCATTAAAATTAATTTATATTATTTTACTTTCAGAGGAGGATTTTGTCGGTAAATTTAGATAATACACACGCATCTTTTGTCGGTAAGACATATAAATATTCTCTCTCTTAGCTCCAGCAGCTTTTTCGGTGCAGTGGGTAGAGAGTTTGGAGACTGACAATGGTTTTGTCGGTAACTTCAAGATCATGCAAGAACAACCTTGTCGGTAAGTTGCAAAGATTTTGGTAATATCTACTCAAGCAGCTTTTCAGGTGAATGAGCAGAAAATGCTATGGCTGATGAGGTTTATGTCATTGAAGTTTGTTCATTCCAACTAGATGTTTGTCGGTAATGTGTTT